TTTTTTCTGTTTCTTCGTGGGGTCGTGTATGCCGGGTTTTGAGACCACGGGCTCCCAATCTATTTTTTTTAGAGCTAATGTATGTGAGAAACAACAACAACAACAACAACAACACGACCGGCTACTGCACATACTGCAACCGCCCGAACATCACTGCCCGGCATGTTGTCTTGTCCTCTCACGCCCGGGGAAATAATGCCCCGGCCCCGGCCGTGCCGATGCTGTGCGCGTCACGGCGCCCGCGCAGACTACGCCACGTCAGGCTGGTTCTGTGTCGACAGGGCTGAGGATCGGTGTGCTGTGCACACCTNGTCGACAGGGCTGAGGATCGGTGTGCTGTGCACACCTCGCCTCCCCCCTCGTCTCTCACTCTTTTCCTTTCCCTCTCTTCTCAGAGACCACCACTGGCTTCCTAGAGAAACTACTCTGTCCCTCTGTCTGTCACCAGCGGTCCCCACCGATCGCTCCGGGAGTCTCCTCTGACCCTACAGTCGAGAGAAGGTTCAACCCCTTCCATCGGCCCGAGGTAGCTTACACTCTTATTCTCTTTTCTTTATATATTAGGGAAAACATAAACACACCGACCGTTCGAGAAAAGAGCCCTCGGAAACCGATAAAAAAAAACAAATATAAATAAATAAAGGAGGACGCTTCCTACACCCGCCTAAAGGAAAAATCGAAGGGCAACGTGCTAGCACCAGGCACTACGCACCAGGGCATGGGAGTAACGGAGCAAAGAGGACAGAGAGGCGGCAGATGGGCAGACAACCAGATGTACAAAAACAAAAGCAACAGCAAAAGCGAGATCAAGGTACCCAACACAGCAGAGTAGGCAGGGAGGACATGAAAAAAAGAAACACGGCACAGGCCGAAGGCAATCCAAAGGACATACATTCTCCTTTTATTTTATTTTGATCGGTCTCCTCGACGCTCTTTCTCGTTTGGTGCGGTAGCTGCTCTTTCTTTCTATCATTTTGTTTCCCTTCCGAGTGGTTTTTGTACCCTATTTTTTTCTGTTTCTTCGTGGGGTCGTGTATGCCGGGTTTTGAGACCACGGGCTCCCAATCTTTCTTTTTTAGAGCTAATGTGAGAAACAACAACAAACAACAAACATCAAGGAGTATAGCACATATATAATATATATAATAGTGTGACCACGGCTTGGAGTAAACGGCACTATTATAGTGCCGTGAGCGCTGATTTGAATTGAAGACAAAAAAAAAAAAACATATAGCAGGGAGGGAAACAGGGCGCAACAACATCATCAGCCGGGTACATAGTTCGCCACAAGACCCCATGACCCCGGTTGGGTCGCCTAGCTGGTAGAAGTGGAGGATAGGGACCAGAGGGGCAGACGACAGAGTCCAATGATGGGAAACAAAAAACTAAAAAATACTTAGGACCGTTTTAAACGGACCGACTTTTTTGTCAAAATTTTCGACAGTTGTCTTTCAAAAACTTGGAACCTGTGTGCAGTCATTTTAAACGTGTGACGTAGACTTGTGCAACTTGTGTCAAAAAAAATGACGCCGTCCGTGAGTTGTAGCGCTCACTTCGAGACAACACAGACGACACAACACAAACCGCGGAAAACACGACATCATGGACACCGACATGGATATCACGACCACCCAGCGTGGCCGGCAGACCAAAACCCCGGCGAAATTCCAGCAGACGGGCTCTCTCGGTGCCGCCGTAGGCGGTGGAGGCTTGCTCTCCAGCAAGATAGTGCTGCTGCCTGGCATCTCGGGGAACACTCATGTTACCACGGGAGGCGCTGCCGCCACCAACACTCCGCCGGCGAGGGGTGGCAACCACTGCTCCTACCCCCCCGGGAAAAGGAAAAAACAAAGCGGCGGACGCGAAGCAACAACTGCAAGCCATCATGGCGGACCGCCGTTTTTTTTTTTTGTATTGCGCGTGCCCGTGGGCGAGGAGAGCCGCTCGAATCTGTAGGCGCGCCGCGCTTTCTACGGTCGGCCATGACCCACACACAACCCTAGCTGACTTTCTACGGTGAGGG